AAACACCAGCTCTGAAAAAACCTTTAACAAAAAATTACAAACTTAAACACTCTTTAACAGAAACTTCTGCCATAGAAAATAAACCCGACTTTTCCCGATTTTTTAAAGTCAAAATTTAGTAAAAATGCAGAATCCTCTTTTTATGGTAGGACACTGACGGTTTATTTATTTATCTTTATTCATAGTTTGTTCCATTGGTGTTGGTTTGGCTTCATTTTAACAGATTATCTGATGTGCGTATTACTTTGGCGGCGACTGTCGCTGGACGTTATCCCTCTTTCTCCCGTTGCAACCGAGTACTCCTGCTATCGATATGTTCGGTCAGAGACAGACGATTAATGAGTGTGACCGCTTCTGGTGTCCTGGTCACTACCGTACCCCAATCGGATCCCACATTCGGCCCTCCTGACGTAGGATTCGTCCCGAATTCCTTCATATAGCCCGCAACTGTCGATGTTTCGAACGGCCCTTCTCCTTCTCCCACCGTTTTCTACTTCGTATCGGCCATGGTCACTAACTTTCACTAGTTTGTATGTCCTTAAGCACTTGCCCTTCAATTTTAAACCTGTCCCATACTGCGTGCGTTTATTGGCTACCAAATTNTCAACATTTTTGCATTACGAAGCTGTATATTACCCAGACGGTAAGGCAAAAACCACAAAGTGTTTGGATTCACTTTTTATCTGCATCAATCACCTTTTCAGATAATCAAAGTTTTCCACAACCAGATCTAAGATACTTAAGTTATGTGAAAAAACCGCTATCTCTAAAATAACCTAAAACAAAATAGTACAAGCTTTGAAAATTCTTAAAAGAAAAGTTCTGCCATAGAAAATAAACCCGACTTTTCCCGAGTTTGTTATCTGAATCAATCAGATCTAAAACACTTAAGTTATGTTAAAAAAAACACCAGCTCTGAAAAAACCTTTAACAAAAAATTACAAACTTAAACACTCTTTAACAGAAACTTCTGCCATAGAAAATAAACCCGACTTTTCCCGATTTTTTAAAGTCAAAATTTAGTAAAAATGCAGAATCCTCTTTTTATGGTAGGACACTGACGGTTTATTTATTTATCTTTATTCATAGTTTGTTCCATTGGTGTTGGTTTGGCTTCATTTTAACAGATTATCTGATGTGCGTATTACTTTGGCGGCGACTGTCGCTGGACGTTATCCCTCTTTCTCCCGTTGCAACCGAGTACTCCTGCTATCGATATGTTCGGTCAGAGACAGACGATTAATGAGTGTGACCGCTTCTGGTGTCCTGGTCACTACCGTACCCCAATCGGATCCCACATTCGGCCCTCCTGACGTAGGATTCGTCCCGAATTCCTTCATATAGCCCGCAACTGTCGATGTTTCGAACAGCCCTTCTCCTTCTCGCACCGTTTTCTACTTCGTATCGGCCATGGTCACTTTCACTAGTGTGTATGTCCTTAAGCACTTGCCCTTCAATTTTAAACCTGTCCCATACTGCGTGCGTTTATTGGCTACCAAATTATTGATCTTATACTTCTTTGCTACCTTTCATTTAGCATCAAACGCTCGCTTGTTCTCCGCTTGCATATTCTCAATATTTTTCCTTGCTCAAGTTGTCACGCTCATCATCCAATTCTGAAATCAGGCAGTCCTAAATCAATTCTCTGAGCTGCACATCACCTGGAATACGCATATCTAAACCAGTCAGTAATTTAAATGGCGAAACCTTGGTACTCCTCGGCTCGGTATTATTGATGATCTGTTGTATCTTACCGACATGCTTATACCAGCACCCCGGACTTTTATGACTGACTTTCGATGACATTGGGACTACTTTTTATGAATACGCTCGACTTGTCCATTTCCCCTGGGTACGCCTGTTGCAATTAACAAATGTTGTGTCTTCTCCCTATCGCAAAACGCCTTAAACAGATGCGAAGTGAACGCAGCTCCGCGATCTGAAACGACCCTATATGTGTTTCTAAAGAAAACAGCCTGACGCTCCAAACAGCTAATAACTTCTTCTACTCCTGTGCTTCGAGTATTATACAACCACGCGTACTTGGACAAGGCATCTACAATCACGAAAATGTGATTATATCGTTTTTTCGTCAACTCCATAGGGCCAACATGATCAACATGGTAGGTTACCAGCGGCTTATCCCCTTTGTCTATCGGTGTGAGGAACCCTCTTGCCGACCTGCCTTTGATTAACTAGAATGCACTCTACACAGCTATTAACTACTCACGCTACTTTCTCCTTGAGCTTGGGAATATAATATGACTTCTCGATCAAATCCTGAGTCTTTTTACAAGAAAAGTGACCTTGCTTGTGATTGATCTTAATGATCTCGTTTTCCATGACCGAAGGTACCACTAGCAACTCTTTATTGGGATCTTTGAACTTGTTTCGAAACATAGAAATCTTCATATCCTTTGGTCTCGACCACACTTTTGACCACCTTCGTCCATTCGTCTAACTGCTATGTCTCCCTCAAACGGTGTAGCAAACTATCAGTTAGAACATGACACAATACCCTTCTCAACGCATCGACATGTCTCATTTTAGAACCGGATTTGTGCTCTATTTCATAGTCGAAGTCTTGGAGATACATTGCCCATTTTTCTTCTTCATGGTCATGGCAAAAGTGTTACAGTCTGTAACTATCTTGAAATTTTTCCCTAGGACGTACACTCGCCTCTTTACCGCAAGCACTTCTAGTTCATAAGAATGATACATCTCCTCACAAGGCTTTGTTTTAAGACTCATGTAGAAAACTGGATGCCACAAATTATCACCTGAATCTCCGTTTCCAGCGATTGATCATAAATCTTCAAAACTAGTCCACTAATCAACGCTCCCTTTAATTTCTCAAATGCCGTTAAATGTTTTTCCTGCAATTCGAACTTCACCTCTTTACGCAACAAATCAGACAGCGGTTTGGCAATTACAACATCCTGTCCATTCTGACTTACGAAAGATTTATACTTTTGGGATTCTGGCGAAACAGGAACGTGAAAGAAACCATTTGTCAAATCTAGGGTCCGTCTCGGATGTTGATATACCGGTAACTCATCTGTCAACAAGAACTTCATCTCTACTGGCGAACTGAGATTTCTCTTTGTCTCATAGTTATCGATCATAAGCTTCACTTCAGATGCGACATTCTGACTCAAATGAACTAAATCTAAGAAAGGTTTCTCCTGATAGTCTTACAAGCTTAACATGCACTGGCTCTCAAACTCGCTCATCAGCTGCACACAGGAACTCTGCCCTAACTGACCATCCTCTGTTCCTAACTCAACACCTTTTTCTACACGACGAACACTTGGCGAAAATGTAGTGCCGTTCTTGGTTACCATCATATCGACGTTGTCTAGGAACGTTGTGCCCAAAATTGCATCGTACTTCATATCCCCATCAGGAATACCAGGAAATTCGATCGACATGTCAATACCATCGATAGTGACCTTTGCATCGAAACTACCAAAAGTCAAGACCTGACTTTCACCGATCCCTGTTAAAACGTTCTGGCGACCTATCAGACTGTCCACGCCTACGCCTAGTTTCCAAAAAACACTCCTACGCATCAAACAAAATACAGTATTCATGCAAATCACTTATTTCTGTTCCAGTCTCGAATAAAAGGGTGGTGATGGTTTTGAAACGACTTTTCTGTCTTTAACTGCATTTGTTTCTCTCTCTGTCTTAACTTTTCCTGCTCGATGTCCTGGCTGATCACATTTAAAACAGTTCTCCCTCACAGGACAATCTCTCTTTATATGTGAAGAGTCTCCCCACCTGAAACACTTCCTACTAGATCCAGCTGCCACTTCTTTTCCTATCTCATTTCCAACCTTGCTGATCGGCCCACCACACTTGCTTGGCGGCTTAGAAGAAACACGAGATTTTTGATATGCCTCAATTTGTAGCTTTAGATCTTTGATGTTTCTAGCCTGGTATAGAATAATTTTGTTTGACCTTGTATCTGGAATACCCTCTGTTGAAAAAGACCCCTGTGCTACCTGCTCGCTTTGTACATACATAATTACATTAAAATTCGCGTGCTGGTTTAGGCCAAACACAGGTTCGATCGGACAGACAGAAAGTATAGGAAACCACATAAAATTGAATAGTTATGACACTGCAAGATGTTGTTGCAAAAGCTGAGTGGGTTTTAGCTGTTCTACTGCTGCGCTGGTGTTGCTACGACAGCTGATTGCCCACCCTACAGCAAGACCAAAAGAGAGGCCGATGATCCCTTGAACGACCTAACACTCTACCCTACTTCCATACTACGACGAGACATGGCACCCACAATCCGAACAACTAGAACATTTTGAAATTCAAATTAAAACTTATTGATTATAACAGAATGCTCATTCGTTTTTTTTGCATTCATATTTTCCCTTAAATTCGCATGAAGTTCCAATAGTGTTTTTTTTTCCAAATCCTTTTTTTTATTTTATCCATTTTTATTATATATATTTATATTTATATTTCTATATTTATTAGATATATTTATTTCTTTTATTATTTACCAAACTTTCATTATTTTAAATTTAAGTGTATTCATATACAGTAAAAAAATGGTTAAAACTATATTAGTGCGCTCACTCTCCTTCCTCATTCCTTCTCTTATAATCTTTGTGACATGCAATAAAAGTAATTTGCTTTCCACTTACGTGCATATCTCGGAACCTTCCATCTCCAAAAGCGCTTTTTTCGATGCGAGGCGGCGAATCTGTTGCACTTTTTAAAAAGGGAAGAAAAAAATAAAAGAAAGCACAAACACAAAATCTAAGTAGAAGAGCTAATAATTTTTTTCTTCGCTCTCGCGATCTTCGTCTTCTCTCTCTTCAATGCTCGCATATTTTCGGCTCTCAACGCCACTGTGGTGAATACCAGACAATATTAGAAGAGAAAGACATGCACGAAGAACAAAAAGGGAAGAGGAACGTCGATTGCACCAATTAACGGCGTTTTCTAATGCTCCACACAATATTAAAATTTTTAACCACTTTTATGTGACTTTTACATTCCTCCGTAATCACTTAATATTTCATGTTTCACTTAACACTACCAAACTTATTTTACACTTAGGCTAGTGTGGGACAAAAAAAAAAGCCAGAGATATGTATACAACAATTTAACGAAGGTTACGGCTTCCCCGTCCAGACGGTGGCTTCGGAGGTGCGAATTAAACTATTTCTCGTCCAATTGCAGCGGCTTCTCTCGGCTTTAGTTGCGCCTAATAGCGGCGAATTCCCGATCGCCGGGAGCGCAATCAATTATTAATTATTTGGCACTGCCGTAGACAAAACAGTAGTTTTTGTTTGTGCTTTTCTACTCGGCAAAACGAGTGATTTTATTCCCTTTAATGCACGGCTTTGGTTCAAGGGTGAATGAACTTGTAGCTTCAATGTAAAAGATTTGCACTAAGTACCAAGTGCCAATCTGCACTTGCAAAAACGGAAAACAAAAGGAAAAGAGAGAAGAAAAAAAATGTTGATTATACCGATTCACAATTTTCTGCTTAATAAAAACACAAACAAAAATGTATGGCTTACCACTTACTTGCGTTTGGCACTTTTTTGATATTCCAAGCGGCCCAGCGGCAGCTGTATTTCTCTTCAGGTATTTTCTGAATATCGTTGTACAATTTTCAGACGCAGTTTAAGTTCTTTGCCCTAAAACTTGGTATTGGTCTGAGAAGCGACTTGATCGACTCACGTCTAGAATTGAAAAGACCGTGGCATAAGCTGAACTTCCTGCGCATCCGGTTAACAGCGAAAGTGGGACATACGCCATTTCCAAAATGCTAACATGATTACAAATAAACCTCTCTTTACCTGGAACTTCTACCACCTTGTATCGTCGATCAGCTGATGTACCAAACAGGAGCTAGCAAAAAGTTACGAAAGTCGGCCTTTAACAAAAAAAACTCTAACCCAAAAACTACAATAGGTTAACTCCAAACTCCTCTAACAAGGCCGATTTCAAACTTTCTGCACAAACATCTTGGCTGCTCCACCTAGCAACTGTTTTGCATACACGAATACCTGTAGCTGGTTCCACTCAACTGTAGCTGCACAATCTTCCAACTCTCCTCTCCATTGATCGATATCCGGGGACTTCGATCCTGAGAACTGACTTACGCTGCCCTCGACATCTTTAAGGGTGAACCACGATCTACCTGGTCTCTCAACTCCTAGCCCTTGATGCCAGCCTGCTCTGTTTTGTCGATTGATTGTAGTTGACACGGATGACACCGATATAATATCTTCTCACCATTATCCTCCGTCTCTGACTCACCCTCGATATATACTTCGTAATGTGACAATAATCTCTGTTGCAATTCCACCTTTAATCCAGTCGTACTCAATTGCAACTCATACAACTTCCAACGCAACTCTCAAACTCGCAATGCCAAGATCTCGCTTCTCTCCATTTTAAAAATATTACAAAAACAAACTTTCTGGCAACGCTCCCTCTCCAGTCTGACCTCTTTTGCCCCGCTTACACTCGGGGATGATTGCTGCTGTCCCGCTCCGTCTCGTGCTCGCGCCTCTCTGTAGCGCCACGCACACTTTGAAGACTTTCAAACTCAACTGGAACCTTCTCGTCGTCTTCGGCTGTTGCCAAAATTCGTGCACCAGACCTTGGCCTACACGTTCCTGCACACAACCCCCGATGACGCAACCAGATCCAATGTCTTGTATCTGCTTCTTCGCTGCCTGCACCACGTGTCCACGAGATGCTTCTTGTCCAAGTTCTACAGCACGTATCGACAATCTCTTTCTCAGCCCTTCCTTGCTTCAGATTGTCTTTACCCCCTTGTGTATGGTAGTATTGGTTGAGTTGGTCGCCGCCTATCGCTTCCTGCGCTTTACCTTGCCTTCTTGCAATGGCGCGTCTCCCTTGTAAAATATTGAGCTCAAACTTAATCCAATGGTAGGCTTTTATCTCCCAGACTGTAAGGCAAAACCAAAAAGTGTTGGATCCACTTTAATGCTGCATCAGCTTTTCAGATAATCAAAGTTCTATAAAACCAGATATAAGATACTTAAGTTATGTGAAAAACAAACCGCTACCTTTAAAAAACCTTAAACAAAAAATTACATACTTAATTACTTAAAAACAAAAAATTCTTCGTTTGAATATTAGCCCGACTTTTCCCGAGTTTTTAAAATCAAAATTTCGTAAAAAATACCTCACAAAAATCAACATTTTTGCATTTCAAAGCTTTATATTTCCCAGACGGTAAAGCAAACCCCAAGCAGTTTGGATTCGCTTTTTAGCTGCATCAATCAGCTTTTCAGATAAGCAATGTTGTATACAACCAGATCTAAGATACTTAAGTTTATGAAAAAACAAACCGCTACCTCTGAAATAACCTTAAACAAAAAATTACAAACTTTAAAAACTATTGGAAAAAATTTTCTGCCATGGAAAATAAGGCCGACTTTTCCCGAGTTTTTAAAGTCAAACTTTCGTAAAAATATCTCACAAAAATCAACATTGTTGCATTTCAAAGCTTTATATTTCCCAGACGGTAAAGCAAACCCCAAGCAGTTTGGATTCGCTTTTTAGCTGCATCAATCAGCTTTTCAGATAAGCAATGTTGTATACAACCAGATCTAAGATACTTAAGTTTATGAAGAAACAAACCGCTACCTGTGAAAAAAACCTTAAACAAAAAATTACATACTTAATAAATTCTTAAAAAAAAGTTCTGCTTTAGAAAAAAGGCCCGACTTTTCCCGAGTTTTTAAAATCAAAATTTCGTAAAAAATACCTCAAAACGAGAAGAACAACTTTTATACCCGGCACTGAGTACTACATCTGTACCTTAGCGGTTATTTGTCAAATTTTAAATTATTTCTGCATCTGTCATCTACATCTACAACACTTCTCACACCAACACGCTCCTTTAGCTCGCCCCCCTTCCCTAGACCCACACACTGCAGACTCGCGGCCAAATTTGGTGGCTCTAGCTTTTATGGTCTCTGAGATCCAGGCGCTCAACAAGACGGACGCACAGACAGACATGGCTCTATCGACTCGGCTAATGATGCTGATCAAGAATATATATACTTTATGGAAACGGAAACGCTTCCTTCTGTGCGTTACATACAACCGTTATTCCTCACAAATACAATATACCCTATTTACTCTTCGGATACCGGGTATAAAAATTGTAAACTTTAAAAACTGTTCAACAGAAACTTCTGCCTTAGAAAATAGGCCCGACTTTTCCCGAGTTTGTTATCTGAATCAATCAGATCTAAGAAGCTTAAGTTGTGTGAAAAAAACTGCCACCTCTAAAAAACCTTAAAAAAAAATTAAAAACTTTAAAAACTCTTTAACAGAAACTTCTGGCATAGAAAAGAAGCCCGACTTTTCCCGAGTTTTTAGATAATCAGCTTTTCAGATAATCAAAGTTATATAAAACCAGATCTAAGATACTTAAGTTTATGAAAAAACAAACTGCTACCTCTTAAAAAACCTTAAACAAAAAATTACATACTTAATTACTTAAAAACAAAAAATTCTTCGTTTGAATATTAGCCCGACTTTTCCCGAGTTTTTAAACTCAACATTTCGTAAAATATATCTAAAAAAAATTAACATTTTTGCATTCCAAGCTTTATATTACCCAGACGGTAGGTCAAACCCCAAGCAGTTTGGATTCACTTTTTAGCTGCATCAATCAGCTTTTCAGATAATCAGAAAAAAACGCTACCTCTGAAATAACCTTAAACAAAAAATTACAAACTTTAAAAAGACTTTTAAAAGCGACTTTTCCCGAGTTGTTAATATAAAAATTTCGTAAAAAATACCTCACAAAAATCAACATTTTTGCATTTCAAAGCTTTATATTTCGCAGACGGTAATGCAAACCCTAAGCAGTTTGGATTCGCTTTTTAGCTGCATCAATCAGCTTTTCAGATAAGCAATGTTGTATACAATCAGATCTAAGATACTTAAGTTTATGAAAAAACAAACCACTACCTCTGAAAAAACCTTAAACAAAAAATTTCATACTTAATAAATTCTTAAAAAAAAGTTCTGCTTTAGAAACGAAGGCCCGACTTTTCCCGAGTTTTTAAAATCAAAATTTCGTAAAAAATACCTCAAAACGAGAAGAACAACTTTTATACCCGGCACTCAGTACTACATCTGTACCTTAGCGGTTATTTGTCAAATTTTAAACTTTTTCTTCACCTGTCATCTACATCTACAACACTTCTCACACCAACATGCTCCGTTAGCTCGCCCCCCTTCCCTAGACCCACACTGCAGACTCGCGGTGACGTGTGAGACGCTTCTTAAGCGTCACAACTGTTATACCCCGCACTCTGGACTACATCTAGATGTAGAATAAATCGCCAACCACTAGATATCGTTCACATTACAGAACACGTAGTAAAAAGCCTACTAAATAAAATGCATCAAAAATATTGGATCAGTTAATCATATTTTCCAATTTATGAGATATTTAAAACAGCAATAAAATTGGTACTTTTTCCTTGCACATTCTGTGCAATAATGACCGCTAGGTTTCAAAGCAGATTTTTCGTGGCGCCATCTATGAAAATTACTGGTACGCAACTTTGATGGTCACTCTTTTTCTAATACAGAGCGTTAAAAACCGAGTCTTGGTTATAACTTTTAAAAATTAGCTTTTGGCCACTGTTTCCGCAACTCCTCGCAACCAGTTCGGAATCAAAATCTCGAAATAAAAAGCCAAGTGCTGCTGGTTCGACCGAGTCGGAATTCAAATCAATTTAATCTCTTCTTCTTTTCAATTTCGATATTCACCTATTATATGCATGTTCTTCTTCTTTCTCTATCGTATTCACATATCACATGTATGTTCTATAGCAACACGCTTCTGTCAGTATGTCGTAAATGCAACAATTTAATATCTTAATGCTACAAATTCATTTTACTTATACAAAATACTAATTTCTCCGGGCCATAATTTGGCTAATTGGCGTAAACAGCCACCAAAACTGGTCATTGGGACAATAGTGCATCTGTACCTCAGCAGGGGCCGAGTGAAGCAGAGTGTGAATGAAAGAATGTGAAAAGAACAACAAAAGCTGCAGGACAGTGTGGGTTTAGGCACTGCTAATTAATTTCTTCTTTCTGGCTGTAATAATGATCCAATCCAATTTGGTGATCTGATAGATATGGCCATTCTCTACGGAACGGCGTTTTTAGTTTTCTTTTATCTTCAAAATTGTAGATTTGGGAGGTTTTCGCCTTTTTGCGGAGGCGGAAGGGGGCGTGGCTCATTTTTAAAATACACTGGTTTCAGTGTGAGCATACAGCAGTCCGGAGCCAACATTTGGTGTCTCTACCCTATTTACTCTTCGAGTGCCGGGTATACAAATTCATACATAATAAATTCTTAAAAAAAAGTTCTGCTATAGAAAATAATCTCGACTTCGAACTCAACTGTAGCTGCACAATCTTCCAACTCTCCTATCCATTGATCGATATCCGGGGACTTCGATCCTGAGAACTGACTTACGCTGCCCTCGACATCTTTAAGGGTGAACCACGATCTACCTGGTCTCTCAACTCCTAGCCCTTGATGCCAGCCTGCTCTGTTTTGTCGATTGATTGTAGTTGACACGGATGACACCAATATAATGTCTTCTCACCATTATCCTCCGTCTCTGACTCACCCTCGATATATACTTCGTAATGTGACAATAATCTCTGTTGCAATTCCACCTTTAATCCAGTCGTACTCAATTGCAACTCATACAACTTCCAACGCAACTCTCAAACTCGCAATGCCAAGATCTCGCTTCTCTCCATTTTACAAAAACAAAAGATTTAACTGAATATAGATTCTATTACATACACATTTCATTACACATCCAAAATAGAATAGTAGTTGCATGCATATTTCATTGTCTTCGTAAACAATGAAGTAAAATAAGAAGACAATGAAAAAATCGTGAGCTACACAACCTCTTTCGGCAACGTTTGGCAAACGACTGACAAACAGGTGTTCCTTGAATGAGGAGCACCTATTAGCACCTGGTCTGCCAAAATTCGTGCACCAGCCCTTGGCCTATACGTTCCTGCACACATCCACCGATGACGCAACCAGATCCAATGTCTTGTCTCTGCGTCTTCGCTGCCTGCACCACCGGTCCACGAGATGCTTCTTGTCCAAGTTCTACAGCACGTATCGACAATCTCTTTCTCAGCCCTTCCTTGCTCCAGATTGTCTTTACCCCCTTGTGTATGGTAGTATTGGTTGAGTTGGTCGCCGCCTATCGCTTCCTGCGCTTTACCTTGCCTTCTTGCAATGGCGCGTCTCCCTTGTGAAATATTGAGCTCAAACTTTATCCAATGGTAGTATTATGTATTATATTACGATACTCTGGCGGCGACTGTCGCTGGCCGTTGTCCCTCTTTCTCCCGTTGCAACCGAGTACTCCTGCTATCGATATGTTCGGTCAGAGACAGACGATTAATAAGTGTGACCGCTTCTTGTGTTCTTGGTCACTACCGTACCCCAACCGGATCCCACAAAAATATCTCACAAAAATCAACAACATTTTTGCATTTCAAAGCTGTATATGTTCCAGAAGGTAAAGCAAAACCACAAAGTGTTTGGATTCACTTTTTATCTGCATCAATCATTTTTTCAGACAATCAAAGTTCTTCACAAGCAGATCTAAGATACTACAGTTATGTGAAAAAGAAACCGCAAACTCTGAAAAAACCTTAAACATAAAATTACATCGTTAATAAATTCTTTAAAAAAAAGTTCTTCCATAGAAAATAAACCCGACTTTTCCCGAGTATTTAAATTCCAAATTTCGTAAAAAAATATCTCACAAAAATCAACATTTTTTGCATTTCAAAGCTTTACCCAGACGGTAGGCCAACACCACACAGAGTTTGGATCCACTTTATAGCAGTATCAATAAACTTTTCTTTACAACCAGATCTAAGATACTTAAGTTATGTGAAAAAATAAACCGCTACCTCTAAAATAACCTTAAACAAAAAATTACAAACTTTAAAAACTCTTCAAAAGAAAGTCATAGAAAATAAGCCCAACTTTTCTCGAATTTTTAAAGTCCGACTTTAAATGGGTGTACACGGAGGAGCCGCATGCCTCGCGCCGTAAAATCATACTCGAAAAGTATCCGCAAATCAAGAAGCTATTCAGACACGACCCGAACTTCAAATGGATTGCCGGGGCTATGGTCTTGACACAGATACTGGCCCTGTTCGTTGTCAAGGATCTGTCGTGGTCATGGCCAATTGTGGCGGCCTACTGCTTTGGAGGCATCATTAACCACTCGCTGATGTTGGCCGTCCACGAGATATCGCACAATCTCGCCTTTGAACACAGCCGTCCCTTTCACAATCGCATGCTGGGATTCGTTTGCAATCCCAATCCCGTCTGGCCTACCCATGAGCATATCGTTCAAGAAACACCACCTCGAACATCATCGTTACCAAGGCGACGAGGCAATCGATACGGATATACCCACACTACTGGAGGCACGACTCTTTAAAACCACTTTTGGAAAATTCCTTTGGGTCTGCCTGCAGCCGTTCTTCTATATATTCCGTCCGTTGATTATTAACCCGAAGCCACCGACACGCCTGAAGATCATCAATACCGTTGTCCAGCTGACGTTCAACGCTTTGATTGTTTACTTTTTGGGTTGGAAGCCCTTGGACTATCTGCTGATTGGTTCCATTCTGGCGACGGGTCTGCATCCGAGGGCGGGTCACTTTATTTCAGAGCACTACATGTTCGACAAGGGCTTCGAGACGTACTCGTACTATGACCCTCTGAATTGGATTACTTTCAATGTGGGGTACCACAACGAGCATCATGATTTTCCCGCTGTACCCGGCTCTCGTCTGCCAGAGGTCAGCGCATTGCCCCGGAATTCTACGAGACAATGCCGCAGCACACCAGCTGGAGCCGTGTGCTGTACGACTTCATCATGGATCCCGCTGTGGGTCCCTTTGCCCGGGTGAAGCGTCGTCAGCGTGGACTGGCCTCCTAAACTGTACCTATTTTGGGTTTACTCAAATGCTGTTTTAAATGTAGATTTTATACTGCTTTATTCAAAATTGTATGCATATTATGTAAACGCCGTCGCTTCTCGACTTCGTTGCTGGCGTATTATCAACATTGTTACCAAAACCATCTTTTACAGACAAATCTTTTCAGATAAATATAAAAACATTATATGTATATATGCATATATGTACACACATATGTATATATATGTACATATGTATGTACATACATCTTTCCAATTTCTGTTCTCGTCGTCGGTTATTTTCTCGACTTCATGTGCGCCTTAATTGTTAGCGCTTGAAACCTTTTGCATTTCTTTTTTATTCTGAGTTCACATACCATTCGAAATGAAAACCCTCAAGACTTTATGAAGAAGCTTGCCCCTCAATTAACAGTTTTCGGCAGCCCCTACAAGGCATCAAGAAATGTTCTAGCAGAAATGTTTTGAAAAATTACCCAATTGAAAAATGAACAGTGTTTTAGCTCTGAGTTAAGATTTGTGTACCGTTCTTTCAACATATTTCACAAATGCGTATTTAATGTGTCAAAAAAATAGCCCCCATCAGTCGAGGGGGAGCTGTGCTGGCGTCCAGTTTCGATTACCATTTTAAGCGGCCCGAAGTAATTCTCTAGTTTATGGGTGGCATGGAATCTTGTGGAGCGTTGAAAAATCGTTGTGCTTGCATTTGTAATTCGTTTTTAATCAACACTCGTAACGGATCGAGATGCACATGCACATACAGATGCAGTGAAGCCAATGATATATGTTTGTATACAACCATATTATAGAGAGAGAGAGAGAGAGACAATCGATCGTGTAATTTGGAATTCAACACCCAACCAACCAGGCTCAGGCCCACTGCCGGCCAAATGGGGGTTGTCAGCGCAGTTTATGGCTAAAATGGCTGACGACAATCTAGCCTCTGGCTAGATATTATATCATGAGCATCGTAGACAAGTTTTTTGTGGGTTCGAATAGCGAGACAGCAGTTACCCTGGAAAATGTGGAAAGAGAGAGAGAGAGAGAGAGCATAAAAAACATGTTAAGTGCAGCCCGCCGCATTATGTTTCAAAATGTCACTTTTAATTGGGAGACGAGAGACCTTGAAACATCCAAGCGAAAGAACGAGCAAAAGCAATAACCGCAAGAACATGCATCCAGCAACATGTTGCTGAAGGCCAAACAACACCAACAAAAAGAAACAAAATGACAACAAAACAACAGCAAGAAACGAGAAGGGACGTGTGAGACGCTTCTTACGAGTCACAACTTTTATACCCGGCACTCAGTACATCTGCACCTTAGCGGTGTTTTGTCAAATTTTAAATATTTTCTTCATCTGTCATCTACATCTACAACACTTCTCACACCTACACGCTCCGTTAGCTCGCCGCCCTTCCCTAGACCCACACACTGCAGACGGGACGGGGTGGGTTAAAAGCCGGCAGAGGCAGCGGCAGAGGGACGGCAGAGTGAAGCACAAGCAGAGTGTGAATGAGAGGATGTGAAAAGAACAACAAAAGCTGCGGGACAGGGTGGGTTTTGCCACTGGAAATTATTTTCTTCATTGTGGCTATAATAATGACGCAATCGGATCCCAATTTGGTGATCTGATAGATATGGCCATTCCCTACGGAATTGTAGGTGGCGGGTATAAATTTTGAAATACACTGGTTTTGGTGTGAGCATACAGCAGTCTGGATGCAAAATTTGGTTGCTCTAGCTCTTATAGTCTCCGAGAACTAGCCGACAAACAAGATGGACGGACGGACAGACAGACATGGCTCTATCGACTCGTCTATTGATTCTGATCAAGAATATATATACTTTATGGGGTCGGAAACGCTTCCTTCTGTGCGTTACATACAACCGTCATTCCCCACAAATACAATATACCAAATTCACTCTTCGAGTACCGGGTATAATAACTTAAGTTTCAGTTAACATTTCAAAAAGTGTAGTTAGTGTCGTTAAAGTATAGTTAACATTCTCTGAAGTCTAAACAGTGAGAGAGCGAGACTGATGCAGCATTTTTAAGAATTTGATTTATAATTAATGACTAACTTTCCGACTACTCATCGGTAAGAGAAAATTGTTTCTTTTGTTTAACAGAAACTTTAACTTTAACTTTAACTCTTTAACTTTTCTCTTTAACAGAAACTTCTGCCATAGAAAATAAACCCGACTTTTCCCGATTTTTTAAAGTCAAAATTTAGTAAAAATGCAGAATCCTCTTTTTATGGTAGGACACTGACGGTTTATTTATTTATCTTTATTCATAGTTTGTTCCATTGGTGTTGGTTTGGCTTCATTTTAACAGATTATCTGATGTGCGTATTACTTTGGCGGCGACTGTCGCTGGACGTTATCCCTCTTTCTCCCGTTGCAACCGAGTACTCCTGCTATCGATATGTTCGGTCAGAGACAGACGATTAATGAGTGTGACCGCTTCTGGTGTCCTGGTCACTANCTGCTAATTAATTTCTTCTTTCTGGCTATAATAATGATCCAATCGGATCCCAATTTGGTGATCTGATAGATATGGCCATTCCCTACGGAATTGTAGGTGGCGGGTATAAATTTTGAAATACACTGGTTTTGGTGTGAGCATACAGCAGTCTGGATGCAAAATTTGGTTGCTCTAGCTCTTATAGTCTCCGAGAACTAGCCGACAAACAAGATGGACGGACGGACAGACAGACATGGCTCTATCGACTCGTCTATTGATTCTGATCAAGAATATATATACTTTATGGGGTCGGAAACGCTTCCTTCTGTGCGTTACATACAACCGTCATTCCCCACAAATACAATATACCAAATTCACTCTTCGAGTACCGGGTATAATAACTTAAGTTTCAGTTAACATTTCAAAAAGTGTAGTTAGTGTCGTTAAAGTATAGTTAACATTCTCTGAAGTCTAAACAGTGAGAGAGCGAGACTGATGCAGCATTTTTAAGAATTTGATTTATAATTAATGACTAACTTTCCGACTACTCATCGGTAAGAGAAAATTGTTTCTTTTGTTGTGTGCTTAACCATCTTCCTCGTGCAATTGTGACATGTGTGCGGCCACATGGTTTGTTATCAGCAGATACTGCCTGTTGAAGGTCTCCTCCCAGAGCTGCATGGCGCGGTTTATGTGGTCCAAGTCCGAAGTTTCTGTTGCACGAACCTCTGGGGCGCTGCTTTCATCTGGCTCGCCTTGGGCGATGCTTTCTTCATCTTCCTCTGTGGCGCTGCTTTCTGCAGCTTCCTCTGGGTCAGCCTTTGGGTGACTGCCTCCAGCCTGATCAGTTCCAGTGGTCAAAACTTTTGCTTTATTTGTGCCGTTGTCATTTTGTCTGACAGTAATGGCAATGGGTCTAGCAGCAATGGCTGCAACTCTGGCATTTTTTCCCTTGCTTTCATCGCATTCATAGCTGTAACTGCTCTCTGTGTCCTCGTCATCTTCATCATAATTTTCCAGTCGATCCGAGGAGGCAGAAGGATTGTAGGCAGAAGTCCCAATGCCAGATGAAGCAATCTCCTCTGTACTCTCACCAAAGCCGCTCGACGGGGAACTCAATTCCTCAACAACTTCCTTTAACTGCTGTAATATACATCTGATGGGCAACATGAACGCTCAGCTTACCCAGCGCTGCTGCTGCTGCTGTTGCGGCTTCTCTGATTTGTCCTGCTCCGTGGCATTACCATAATCCGTAGAGTAAACTTCCTTTGCCGTCTTGTAAAACTCGTCCAGCCAGTCCAACTCGTTGTTCACCTTGAATAGCCTTTTGTAGGCATTCAAGCGTTGGATTCAGCTCTCCCGATTTTCAAACTTCAATGGGAACTGATGATGGGCCAGCACTGGCAGCAGCGATTCAATGCCGGGTCTTTGCAATTAAAGGTTAATTTCCCGAACCAAAATGGTAATCCATTCCACACATACCTTGACGCTCTTGAATGCTTTGTGCAAACGCCCAAACGTTGACCATTTGTGGTACCAGGGACGTGTCTTCAGGGAGCGACGACGACGCTTGAGCACCTGCAGACGTGCCCTGTAGCTCTGCCACATTAACTGGCCATCGCTCTCCGTGTAGTGGCTGACATAGGAGGTATGTATCACTGCCATAGCCGCACTCCAGGCTGTCCGACACAATGCTGCTGGCATCGTCCACCGTATTCGACAGCACATGAGGCTGCAGCGTGGTCGAGCTGTTGTCCATGGCGGGCACCACTAGGAAGTAGGTTTTCGTATTGATTGAATTTGCGGGCGGTCCCGGGTGAGTGGCAGCCGAGCAGCCAGTCGATTGGGTTGGCTCCTGGGAGACATCTGACGGGGTCGCCGTTGGCTCCTGTGACACATATGTTGGTGTTTGTGATGTCTGTGGAGAATCTTCCACTTCCATGACTGTTTGGTGGGTCTCTAGCGGTAGCTCTCCTGTGGTTTCGGCTATAGCCGAGCTGACCGAGAGGTGTGTTGGTGGCTGGGAAACATCTGTCGGGGTCCGTCTTCCACTTGCATGAGTGTTTCCAGCGGCTTCTCCATTCTCGCTTCTGCTCCATATGTTGGTCGATTCTCCTTGTTGTCTGCCGAAGCACTAACGTTCGCTTTTTCTGGCGCACCCAAGTTGCTTTTGGCGTGCTTTTGTTTCTCTGCTTTTCGCCTCAGTTTTTCCCTCTTTTTGGCTGCCGAGCTGGTGCTGGGCTTGTCATCGTTTGGCGATAGAATGTCTTCCGGCAACGGCTGCTGGCTGTCTGCCACTGTGGGATATGTTTTAACCTCAAATTCTAGATTGTTTGGCTTTTCCTCCTGCACTACAGCGGGAGCGATAAAAACTCCTTGTTGGGCACATTCCTAAACGATTTGTTGCCCTGCAGCTGCTTCTGTGACCTGCGTCTTTACCTCCACTGGAGACACGTCTCTGGATGCCTTTTCTGCCTTTTCGTTGGATATTTTGATGGCCAGTTTGGTGGCCTTTTGTTTCTTGATTTGATTCAACTCATTCTCGTCCTGCTCGTTGGCTTCCGACTTAAAGTAATACGGAAACCCATAAGCATCAAATTCAAAGTAATTAAATCCCTTCGACGGCTGCCCTTCAGTGGGAAACTGCAGAACGGACATGCCAGTGCCTGCCTTTGCCAGAATCCGCTTAAAATGTTCGCTCTGCTTCGGCGATGAGATGAATGTGATGGCAATGGCCTTTGACCCGAAGCGACCGGAACGCCCCGACCGATGCAAATATATGACATGATCGTTGGGCGGATCCAAATTGATCACCAGGTTGGCATGATGCGAGTCCACTCCGCATGCAATCAGATCCGTGTCCACAATGGTGCGCACCGATAAGCTGCGATAGTTCTCAAAGACCTCGGAGCGCTCGCTCTGGGCGAAATCATCCGACAGCAGCATGCAGGGTATGCCACCGGCTTTCAGGTAATTGCAGTACGAATCTGCGCGCATTTTGGAATTGGAAAAGAGCACCGACTGCTCGTAGTGTAGCTGCGTGAAGATCTTCTTCAGCGCCTCCACCTTCATACGCATCTACAGCATGTTGTTGATCTGCTCCGGCAGCTTGTAGACACACTGCCGAATGCCCAGCAGCACGGTGGCCCGTTCGCTATTCGATACCAGTATGGGCCTCTCCATCATCCTGGCTATCTCGTCAAAATTGTGATCGAAGGTGGCACTGCAGGCGATGACCTGAGGCTGTCGCGGCAGCAGCGCAATCAATTCATTCACCGTCCTCTGCACGCTCTTTGTCATGTACAGCTGATCGGCCTCGTCGAGCACCAGCAGCCGCACGCGGGACGGATTGAACACACCCTTCTCGTGCAGCTGCAGCAGGCGGCCCGGTGTGCCAATGACCACATGGCAGTTCCGCAGCTTCTCACGATCCTTGGTCACATCGGTGCCGCCACTAAACGAATTCACCTTTAATTACCGCATTCTCTGGCCCAAGTAGCGGAGAATGTGTCGTGCACCTGTATGGACAGCTCACGTGTTTGCAGAATGACCAAAATTCCCGCTCTTCGACTGCACCAGCAGATCTGCAACAACATTTTTATTTTAGGATTACATTTAAATACTTTACACTTACCCATGCCGGTCAGCGCCATGGGTATGGCTGCAGCTTGAATTTTCGTTGGCGTCTTAAAATTGTTGGCCGTCAGGCCGCTGAGCACCACCGGGCACAGATGCAAATCCGAGAAGTATGGCAGTCGTCCAGCGTCCACGTCGCTGGTGCGCTTCTCGCCATTCTTCAAATTATGCGCAATTGCGCCTCCGCCCTCCATTTCAGTGCAATTTTTGGAAGTTTCTTAGGATGAGGTTTTATGTTACCGCAGCCCGCCTTTACAAGGTGGAAGTCGCTACTTCGAGATATGTAACTTGTTGCAGTTTTACTCCAATTTTGTCGATGAACTCGATTTGGTACGAGCTAATTTGCGATTTGCTAATTTCCTTAGCGATGGGTAGTTTAGTCTTGTTGTGTTGTACTTGGTACATTTAAAAATTATATGCAATGCGTCATCGATAGTATCGCAATTATCACAAATGTTACTAGCGACTACGTGCATTTTGGCATGTGTGTGCCTATCAAATGCACTGCCGCTAAGCAGTCTATTGATCCTTTTAGCGCCAATGGCTTTTAGCTTATATCTATTTAGGAACCATGGTTTTGTTGAGGTAGAGGGAAAAAGTGAGCAGTATCCTCTGCGTTTAACTCTGGCAAACTCGGCATACTCTCTCTCTCTCTCCCATTCTTTCAGTATTTCAGTATTCGGTGTATCTCACATATTGCATCTTTAAGATTCCATTTAACGACTGTATATTTTCCCAGTCTGTGTGCTTTTTTGGCTGCTGAGTCAACTGCCGTGTTCTGAGGGATGTTGGCGTGGCCGGGTATAAAATGGATTTCTACCTTCTTTAGGTATTGGGCTTGACGGATCTTCTCCCTGATTTCATAGGCGGTAAAATTATCCTGAATGCTCCTTGCCAGTATTAGAGCCCCGTTTCTGCTGTCCGTTAGGATGGCGATACGAGAAAACCCGCGGGAAATAGCATGGTCCAAGGCCTTTTCAATTGCAAGCAACTCGGCGGACAGAGATGACAAGGTTTTGTGCGTGTAAAAGCTTTCTATGAAACCTGAGCTATCGTGTAGGAAAGCTGCGCTAGAGAGTCTGTTAGCTACTGATCCATCAGAGTAGTAGGTCTCGAAGCCTCCCCTTGCCAGGAGTGCCCTTTTTTCCCTATGGAGAACTTATATGCCCGCCTGGTCTAAGCTGTGCTTGTTCTCAACAGCACCCTTAAAAAAGTCGAAATCTAACCTAATTTCAATGCGAAGTTGTACTCTCAAAGACCTCGATTCTCGAAGTCGTCCGCATACTGTTTATCTCGTGCAGTTCTGCGGTGTACAAGTTGAACAGAGTTGGACTGAGACAGCTGCCCTGACTAACTCCCCTGTTCACCTCACCCTCACTCTTGCCCTTGATGAGTAGACGCCTGCTCAGGAAGCTGGCAATCCAGGCAGTGTGATTCGGGTCGAACTGACTCTTACGCAGTCAAATGCCCTTTGTAGGTCAAGACATGCCGCCACGACCTGATTCCCTCTCGCCTTCAGAGCCAGGACCTCGTTGATCAGGTCGTTGATGCAGAGCGCCGTGGACCTGTTCCTCCTGAAGGCGTAGGATCAGACCGGCAAAATCTCATGCCTTGTAATATGTTCGTCCAGCTTTAACTTTATCTACCCCTCTATAGACCTTAACAAGGTGTTTATCAGGCAAATAGGTCTGTAGTTTTGGAAGGAACCGGGGTCCGCATTCTTCTTGGGAATCGGTACCACCTTGATTCTACGCCAGACCTCTGGGATGATGCCACTGAGTCATACCCTGTTTATAATTTCAAAGATGTTTTTTCCCCACAGGAAGTTGCATCCTGAACGAAATGTCATCTGGCCCTCTCGCCGAATATGGGTACCTGGATTTCAGGAAGGACAGAAATTCCCCCATGTCCAAAGGTTCGGGGTCGCCTGGTCCAATCAGAGGAGGAATGTTCTCTGGGGGTCTACTGCTTGCAGTGGAGTGGATGTCTTTGACCATTTTTAGAAAGCCATTGTCGTTTTCGTCTGTCCATGTGTTCCCTACGTTCTTGACTTGTCCGTATTTCTTTAGGTTCTTTACTCTACTCCACATTGAGGGCGTAGAGGAAAGCTCTTCTAAGAACTTTAAGAAGTTGGACCTTCTGAAATTTTTAATCTCATTTTGCAGGCTGCGGTCGGCCTCTACAGTGGCCCTGGCATCCTCAAATTTGTTTGGTGTAATAGTATTTATGCCTGCACGCATTTCTAACGCGAAAAAGTCTCTCTATCCCCTTGTTTCAACATTTTTTGGCAATATACTTGTTGGTGCTGGGAATGGTAACTGTGATCTTACTGGTCATGGATTTGACCTTATCGTTGAGCTCTTGCAGATTGGTAAAACTGCTTGCTCCTAAAATACGATGTATTCTATTGTGCAGCACTTTCTTTTTTTGAATGGAGGCATCTAAACCTTCGACTGTTAGAACGATTGGGAAGTGGTTGCTGTTGGTTTTTTTGGATTTAAGGGATTGCCAATCAATTCTACCGTTCCTGTAATTGGAAAAGGTGAGGTCAAGAACAGAGAATTGGGAAGGGTTCCAGGAAAAAGTTTGAGATCCGTCGTTAAGACAGATAAACCCCGCCTCACGAGTAGAATTCTCGATGCTGCGGCCCTTGCGGTCACTGGAAGGGTTTCCCCAGATGGAAGACTTGGCTTTGAAATCTCCTCTTACGACTGAAGGGTAGTCGTCTAGGGACTCCGCAAGCTCGAACACCTTTTTAATGCCTGATTTGAATTGGGAAAGTGTCATTGAAGGCGTATGCGTGTGCGCTAAAAATGTTGAGGTTGTTTTTGAGGTTCAAGGTCTTAATCTAGATCACAGTCTATTTTCAGAATGCTAAATCTTATTTTCTATCTAATATAGATTCCTACTCCGGCGTAGCCGTCTTCTCTGGGCTTGCCGATAAAGTTGTAATCTAAGATGCTGCAGTCCGCATTATTTACAACCCAGATCTCCGAAAGGATTGCAATGTCTATTTCGTTGTTTATTAGAAACATATTGAGAAGCTGTTTGTTGTTGTTGTAAGTCAGACTTTGAATGTTTAGTTGCAGAATCTTCATTGTTTTTTTTTGAGTATCCCGCTTCCACCCCTTGCAAAATTTGCAAACGGTCGAGTTCAGCATTGGAGGAGTTAACATACTCCAAGATCTGTTGGAAAAACTTCTGCGCCAATTCCCCCTTGGAAATGTTGTTGGGTTCCACCAGGAACGCTGTAAGCATGGATCCCAGTGCGTTAAGCTTTTCCTGGGCCATAGATGAGACCACGGGCGTTGTTCTCACAAATTTTTCACTTAATTGAGGGCTATCTGCCCGAGTGAATTTCCCTAGCTGCCTCAGTGTTGTTGTTTAGGCGTTCGGGGAGGATGCCATTTTGCCAAGTGGGTGGGGGAACTCCCCTGGGTCCCCAGGGTTGGGTGGAGATCTACCAAAGAGTGTCGGGTACCTAGCCATGACCTCAGCCCGTGATAAGTTTTCGAGCGTCATGCTTTTTTGAATTGCAAACGCTTTCCTTCTGGCCTCGCATTGCGGGTGCGTAGCCGTGTGGTTACCCTTGCAGTTAGCACAGCTTAGCCCCGAGCATAGCGTGTCACTGCTGTGGTGCCGACCACATTTGAAACATCTCGCCAGGCTCTTGCAGTGCTGCCACCTTGGTGTACAGGAACTTGATTTCCTTGGGCAGCTGCTCCCCTCTAAACCATAGTTTGACCCTGCCGGTGGGTACCCTATCCCCCGAGGTTCTGTCTGTTCGGCGAAGGCACTGTTTTCCACAAGTTTGTTTGCACCGTCGGCCGACCTACATACAATCTTGCCCCTGCCATAGCCTATCCTCGCGACCTCCTCTATACCGCCAAGTCCCAGTTTTATCAACAGTTCGGATAGCTCGAACTGGTTAATTGCGATCCTGGAATTATTATCGCTTAATTTATCTATATACACTACAAAAAGGCCTTTGTGGCCCTCGTAGTATTTGTTGTTAATGTTTTTGTTGTTTTTGTTTTTGTTGTTAGTTGTCGTTGTTGATCTTGTACTCACGGACGTCTGACAAACATCCACATCCGCTTTCTCTTTCTCACTAGTAATTGTTTTGGTAGTTTTGTTTTTCGTCTCTTTCTCTTTCAAGGTGGTTTTTGTCGTCGTAGCTGTTGTTTTTCCAGCCATTTTTACGCCTGCCGAAAAAGCAGGTCTGGGGTCTCCTTCCCTCTTTTTTCGCGTCTCCACTAGGATCCTTGATCCTGTGGCCATCATGGTCCTTCCTATGCCAGCCATGGTTCCGGATTACGCTGCACCAGCTTCCGTGTTACTGGCTTTGCTGGGCCGCCATTGCCGAGAGGCAAGGTTATCCGGTAAAATACGGATCTACTGCCACTTTTGTCCCGCCGTCTTTATCAGGATGTGGGGTAACCACGGGTGATCGGGTTATTGCTTATTAGAAGCGAGTTTAGGCTCTATTTCACGAAATAAGCTAATTTTCTACTTTCCGCAGTAAAAACGAGATACGCGCCTCACCAGTGTTGAACCCCGACTCTGTAGGCAATTTCTTAAATAAAAACAAAAACGCGGTTTTTGGCGTCGCACGCAGCGTGACCAGGGCTGGGAGAAAAATCGATAGCACCATCGTTACTATCGATGGTTGAGAAATTAGACGACCATCGATAGTATAGTAACTCCTCTCTCTTTCACCTGTCTCTACAAGTTGCAAAACAACCGATAGTTTGACATCTTCGGGTAATAAAAGAGCGTTCAATTCAGATATAGCTAGCTGAGCGCGCTGTTCATATACAGGGAAATTCATTCCTGTGTCTAAACGGTCAGGGAAATTCTCTCCTATTAAACGCTCTCCCGTATGAATTTTTGCGTTTAAAATGTGTTCACAAAAATACCCCAGAAATATACCAAAAATAATATATGTTCACACTTCCAGATATACTGTAGATAATAAATATTTACCTCAATTTTGATGTACTGGTACCAGAATGTTGCTTATTTCGTGCCCATGTTGAAAAGCACAGCAAGTTACTCTCAAACTGTGCTCGCGTGGCGGGAATATTTAAATTGTGATTTGATCACCAGGTTGGCATGGTGGGTGTCCACTCCGCGTGCAATCAGATCCGTGTCCACAATGGTGCGCACCGAAAAGCTGCGATAGCTCTCAAAGACCTCGGAGCGCTCGCTCTGGGCGAGATCACCCGATTTGTTTTGCTTTTCCAAGCAATTCTAGCAACTGGTTCTCAACTGAATTTCAGTAAAAAGCCAACTCTAAGCCTAAAAAATCAGAACTTCACAACAACCTTTTGGTTTCACACAAAACTCACACAAATTTCACACAACATACAGACAAAATTCTCAATATTTGCAATGCTCAAATTCCGTGACATAATTTACTTCGTGGTGCTCACGGGACTGCATGTGT